CACATTAAACTGGCTATTTTTAGTGTAATATACAGACATGTGAACAGACACACTTCCACTGATTGAAACACACAAAACAGCACAATAATTAAACAACTCGCCTCCTAGTGGCACAGTGGTATGTCTGCGGATTTACAATGCTAGAAACCGTGTTTCGATACCCGTGGTGGGCAGAGCACAGATAGCCCATTGTGTAGCCTTGTGCTTAATTACAAACAAACAAACAAACAAATTAAACAACTCAACAACAAAATTCAACATTTTAATGAATTAACCAAACACCTATGCAGACTTAACCCCTAACTTGCCTTCATAAACCACACAAACCTAATACCACTCACTAATACTTAACCCTAACTTGCCTTCAACAACCACACAAACTTAATACCACTCACTAATACTTAACCCTAACTCGCCTTCAACAACCACATAAACCTAACACCACTCACTAATTTTCTTGCACAAATGGACTTCACCTCAACTTTTCTGGTATTTTTACCCTAACCTCAAACTTCACGTACTTTATTTCCCGAAGCATTATCCCACGCTTATCTTCTTCTTCTAAGTTACCCCAGTCATCTCCTATTTCTACTTCTAATAATTCTTCTACCCTTCCCTGTCCAAATTCTACATTTCTCCCTATCTCAGAAGCTACCAATGTTTCTCACAATCATACCCCTATCGCTCAATCTACCCAACTAAAAACTCATTAAACGGGTTTTTATATGTAATTAGATATATTCAAGTACAGTGATGAAACATGTAGTGTTGCTATTTCTTTAATAATGATTTTGAAAACAGCTTTGTGAAATAATAACTCAATTATTTGAAATAGCTCTTTGAAACAAGAATATTTTAAAGATTCAATTACAGCAACTCGTGCAATAATTTTAAAATTAAAAATAAGATCAACGTTTAATATACAAATTATTATTTTTTCCACGACCAAAATTAAAGACTCTACATTTTTCGGTGAATTAAATATTAGAGAATCAATAGAAATTTTGTGCTGTACAATAAATAATTGTTTGTTAAATAGAGTTAGCTGGCGGTAATGTACAATTTTGGAAAGAAATATTGACTCGTAGATTACAAAGAGTTAAACCGTTGCTTTATAAAATTACCCGCTTGTCATGCAAGTTTTTACTCCTGATAATAGGTAGCGTAAAGCTACCAAAACAGTCTTTTTAATTTTGGTCGTGTAAAAAAAAATATTGTTCATTTTAAACGTTTATCTTGTTTTTAATTTTAAAAAGAATATTATTATTAATCGAAGAACTATAACACAATTCCATAAAATAAATATATTCGATACTAGAGGGCGCTAGTCTTGAATGACTTTAAGAGTAAACTTTTATGTACATATAACTCTTTCGATGTGACTTAACTCTTGAAAATGACAAAAAACTTTCCTTCGAGTACACATCACTGTAATCTCAAATTAGGTTTTATATTTTTAGTAGTTAATAATCGTAAAATATAATTTGACGTTGAAAATTTCTGCACTTGTATTTTCTTTTTTTTTTACAAAAACTTGTATATGTTTGGCCTCATAGTTTTGGAACCTACGTACAGGTGGCAAAGAATATTTCATTCTACAATATTTAACCTTTTATAAAATTTCATGAAACGAAAAACTAACACGCCTACCTTTGTGTGTGTGTTTGTATATACATACAGGTGTTAATATTCCACATTTTCTGAAGCTATTTATGCTTCCTTTTTTATTAACACGAATGAACACTTCCAAAAAAACTACTATACAGTAGTTCCCAACACACACATTAAAAGAAATATTTCAAAAAATATTTTACCGGTGTGCTTACAACACTAAAAATTGGATCTGATACCTGTAGTGGACAGAGCACATATAATCCATTATGTTTAACGACCAACTAATCAAAAATTTCCCGAAAAAAGTTACTTTCAAAGAGTTAATATACATACACACACACATTCAGTTGTCTTGTAAATTATTACGCATAATTTTGCTTGTTCCGGGACTTAATGGCGTCAGATTAATTCAAGATAAGCGTAATTCTGTTCAAAATAATATTTCGTTTTGTCTTTCGTACTATCTTTTTCATTTTATAATGAAAACATTAAAGTAATTTTAGTTATAAATCTCGATGTAAATGGATTTAGGTAAGAATAATGTAAATCTAGTTTGAAAACATAACACAGGATTGAATGTTATCACGATGACTAAAGTACGGATTCCTACATTCCGTGAAAAATTAAAAATAAATTATCATTAGAGGCGCTGTGGACATAGAAACTTTATTACTTATTCTATTATTTTGATATATTTTATTAGACATTAGCTTAATTGTAACTCGATGATCTACTGTTGTATCGACATGGTAAGTTTCCCTCGGAACATGCCCGAGAAGAAAACAATTAAAGGCTTATTTTCCAAGTTGAAATAGTTTAAGTTAATATCGAATCCTACTGGAATGTAACTATGATTATTGAAAACCAGTAAAAATAAATGTAAGAAAAACCTTGTTTTAACAACAGATGGCGCTATATACCATATTGTATTAGTTTAAATTTAAGTAAAAAAAGGGTGGGATGTAGAACTATTTGATTTAGACAACTATGGGTATAACAAATTATAAATCCTTAAAATATCATCTTGTCATCACAAACAAAGGTGCGATTATTTTGGTTAAAGCGCAAAGCAGCACAATGGGCCTTATACGTAATGCTCACTAAAGTGATATCATTTTTTAACATCTTTTTAAGATGAAAACTAATGTTTCAAAAGCATTATACTTGATAAAAGGTGGTTTTGATGAGTAAACTTTCAATGCCAAAAACGGAGGTTTTTGAAGTTGGGAGGGGGGACAGAACTAATATTGTCTAGTGTGGTTTTAATCCTGTCTTGCTCCCAAAGGCAATGTTTTTAAATTGGTATTTTTTGCGCAAATGGTTCGCGAGCAATGGATCTTCAGATCCACAAGGCCACACCCGGTTCACGTTAAGTGTGAGAATATAATGAATATAAAAGTAAATTAATAGGAAATTTTTTGTTTGTTATCAAGCACAAAGCTACACATACCGCTAGAGGCTAGTAGAAAATAATAGTATTTTCAACAATTCGAAATATTCAAATAAAAAGCATGTCCTCACACTTCATGCTTTAACAGTGAAACGAGAATCAACAAACAGAGCTGAACATGATGGGAAAAAAAACCGATTTGTTATACGTGAAGTTAACATTTTTTAGTTTCTATTTACGTTGCATTTTTCGTGATTCTTTTATGACGATCAAAGTTAAAACACAATTTTATCAAAGTTCAACTTTATTTGTCACACTTGTAACTGTACAAAAATAAAACTGACCACCGTAAAGGTCGGCACAAGAAAATCATTTTATCAACAACTTTTACGTTTCTTCTGACACTTAAGTCTACACCCAGATATTTTCACAAGGAATTTTCAAAACAAGATTATGAATATTCATGAACAGTATCATGCATTTCAAACAAAAGCAAAAAAAAAAAAAAATCGTTAAAAGCATTATTTTATACTCTTTCGATATTATAACTTTACGATTTACCCATTATTTTACGAAGCGCATCTAAGCTTAAGTAGGGGTAATAATGGCTGGAGATGGCTTGAATGGGTAATGAAGAAAAACTTTAATATAACAGCAAATGTACAACGTTACGTACCTGATGATGACAAAACCTTGTCGAAACGTTGTACATTTGCTGTTATATTAAA